TTAACATTTGGGCGGCGTTATGCAAATTTTCCCAGATCGTGACGTAGGTATGTGGGGGTGTGTTAGAACGAGCCGTTTTAGGTAGGCGTGGCTGACTCTTAACTTTTATAAAGAATATCTCTTTGGATTTCAGACTTTAGTCTTTGCAACTTTACAGATCTTCTTTATGCACCAAGAGCTTGTAACACTCCAAAGAGAAAGGAAAAATTGAAATCGCATCATATGACCCCGTTAAAGTAGCCTAATTCCGCGGGAAAACCGCGGACTTGGCAACACTGTTCTTCATGGCTGAATTGGCGCCAATCTCGCAGCGTCCGCTGTTGGTAAAAATAATCACTACACATTTGCTTTGGTAAGCAGTGCAGGTTGTTTTTCTTTCTTTCTTTTTTTTTTTTTTTGCAATGTATCGTTATGAACATTTTGTAAAACGGGACATTTCCAAAGACAGGAAAGTAAAACCGCCTGGTTAACCTAGACTGGAAGCTCTTTGACAACTTCTGGCATGTGGAAACGCACGTCTCACTTTGGTTAAATTGGCCCCAGGTGTACCGATGAGCTCGCGGCACGCTGGACTACAAGAGAACAGTCCAATGCGCAGAAACAGATACATTCATCGCTGTTGGATTTCCTCACATGGGTATATTAGGTCTGAATATTAATAATGGATATCAATAATGAATAGATTATGTGAAAAATTCAGCAATTTATAATTAGTTGCCATTTAGACACTTCATACTGGGCGATTAAAAATGCATTTATAGCTGGGACAGTCCTGCCCTGAAGCGTCCTGGAGTTAAGTGTCTCGCTCAAGGAGCCAGTCGTCGGGCCTCGACAGATTGCACTGTTGATCCCTGAATCCCTCTTCTCTAAATTGTTTCCAGTCCTCAAGTGTCCAATCCTGTTAAAGGTAAAAATCCCATAAAATATTTTCAAATGGAACCAGTGTTAGTCGGGGTTGCTTTAACCGGTAAGATAGCCTACACTACTGTTCAAAGATTTTTTTTTATTTTTTTTTAAATGTCTCTTATGCTCTAAAAAGTCTCTTATGGTCACTAAGGCTGCATTTATTTGATCAAAAACACAGTCAAAATATGAAATATTATTACAATTTAAAATATCTGATTTATATTTGAGTAGGTTTTGAAATGTAATTTATTCCTGTGATGTAAAGCTAAATTTTCAGCATCATTGCTCAGTGTCACATGATCCTTCAGAAATCATTCTAATATGCTGATTTGCTGCTCAAGAAACACTTCTTATTATTATCAATGTTGAAAACAGTTGCATTAATGCGCTGCTTAGTATTTTTGGGGAAACCATTATACTACTTCAGGATTTTTTGTGTGAATAGAAAGAGTTTATTTTAGAATAAGGACATTTATCTTAAATAAAACATTTTTGCAACAATGTAAGAGTCTGAATAGTCAGTTTGGATAAATGTAACTCATCCTGAATAGTATATGTGAGCATTATGGGTAATAATTAGAGCGTGACAAAGTTTTTCAGTCCTTCTGTTTCTTTTGCTCTCAGTAAATAATAAATAATGCTAAATAAATAAAGAATTGCTTTGTTGTGGAGCTTGCATAAACTTAAAACGTTAGCTAAAATATAATTTTAAAAAATCAGAATTTAATTTAAATGTTATATAATATAAAACTGGTACACGTCTTATTTTCTGTTGGTTGAACACGAAAAAATGCAAGAAATTCAGGCGTGTGATGTGTAATATTTTTATTCAACAAGAATGCATTAAAGTGATATGAAAAATTTCAGTTTCAAACTAATGTTATTTTGAAGCTTTGTCATGCAGGAAGAAATTACATTTTTAATAGGCCTATATATTAACATAGAAAACAGTTATTTTCAATTGTAATAATGTGTCACTGTTTTTACTGTATATTTTTTATCAAATAAATGTAGCCTTGGTGAGCATAAGAAAATATCTTTATATTAAAGGGGTCATATGATGCGATTTCAAGTTTTCCTTTCTCTATTACCTATAACTATTATAGGTAATAGTTAAGTTTAACTTGATGCACGAACATAACTGAAACTAAAACTGAAATAAAAATTAATAAAAACTTTATAGAAATTAAAAACTAATAAAAATAAGACAGTTATGTGTGTTAGGCTTATTATAGTTAACTAAAACTAAAATTAAACCCAAATTAATATTTTTTTTTAATTTTCTCTAAAATAAAATATAAAAACTTAAACTTATTTTATTCCAGTAAAATTTCTCATTTCACTTCACAACATTTTTCAATTTTAATGTGACGTAGTAAAATAACTCAAACTGAAATACAAATTAATAAAAAATCTATAAAACAAACAAAACAACTATAGGCTAATAAAAAAAAACGGAATTATAAATAACTAAAAAACATAAAAAATAGATTTTAACCAAAATAAAATAAAATATAAAAAAGCCTTAAAATATTTGATCTCAGCTACAAAATTTTTCATTGTCATTTAGTTTAACTTGACACTAAAATAACTAAAACTGAAATAAAAATTAATAAAAATTATATAGATCAAAAAACAAAACAGGGTTATTATAATTAAGGGTCAGGGTTATTATAATTAACTAACAAAAAACATAAAAGCATAAAGTGCTTTTCAGCTACAACATTTTTCATTGTTATTTAGTTAAAATAACTAAAACTGAAATATAGTGAATAAAAACTATACTGACATTTAAAAAAGAAAAACTAATAAAAATGACGGAACCAAACAACAACCACTAAAACTTAATTAAAATTAATACATAATATATAAAAATAACTAAAAATAACTAAAGTCAAAATATGAATAAAAACTATACATCTCAGTGATACCAAAATAACACGTGTGTGTGTGTGTGTGTATTTATATAACTCAATAACAATAAATATACACAAATTTACACTTTACACACTCCCTTGTTGTTGTCAAGTCAATAGCAAAGCTCCCTCTCTGGCCACAAAAACACACGGCCACACTTCTCTATCATAAGCACTGTCGTGTTGATGCTGTCATGCTAATTAATGTATTTATTACTTATTGTGAAGCTGTTAACCTGTAGCCCACAGAGACCGATGCCAGAATCAATGATGCTGCGCTTCTCACTAGATTTCTGCATCTAACTGCAATATATTGCCAAACTGTTCACTTTATTTGGTTTGTAATTAAATGTTTTAAACTTACAGCACATTCCTGATTACAAATCTCACTAGAACGGTATTCCAGGACTGTTAACACCCGTGGAATTTAGCATGGAGGGGCACAGCTGCAAACATCTGTCCTGTCCATCAAGCCTTCACGCATTCTGATTGGCTAGAATACATGTCAATCAAAACGTATTAGAGGTGCAGTGTGGTCAGGTTAAGAAAGATTTTCTTCTACACACTGCCACATCTCTGACATCCACATGTGCTGTACTGAGATTTAAAGAGAGCAGATATTGGTGTGAGTAGAAAAGTTTCCCTTTGAAAAGTGTTTGCATGTAGTTTTCCTCTGTCTGATAAATGGTTTGACATTTTGGTTTGTTGTTTAGGAAACCTTTCGAACATCATACTGACTTTTTATACATTTCAAATTTAGCTCTATTTTTAATTATGGTGATTAAAAATATTGATTGAAATATTTGAAAATATATTTTGAATGGGTATTTTAAACAGATTTTTCTTTGTCAATACATGCACTACTTTTCAAATGTTTGGGGTCAGGTCGATTTTTTTTATTATATATAATTTAAATTAATATTTTTATTCAGGAAGGGTGCATTTATTTGATCAAAAATGACATTTAAGACATTTATAATGTTACAAAAGATTTCTATTTCAAATAGATGTTGTTCTTTTGAACTTTCTATTTATCAAAGAATACAAAATTTATCAGTTTCCACAAAAATATGAAGCAGCACAACTGTTTTCAACACTTATAATAATAAAATGTTTCTTAAGCAGCAAATCAGCATATTAGAATGATTTCTGAAGGATCATGAGACACTGAAGACTGGAGTAATGATGCTGAAAATTCAGCTTTGATCACAGGAATAAATTAAATTTTAAACTATCAAATAAAAAACATTTAATTTTAAAATGAAACATTTCACAATACTACCATATAAAATATTTCACAATACCACTTTTACTATATATATTTTTTAATCAAATAACTGCATCCTTGATGAGCATAACAGACCTTTCAAAAACCTTACTGACATCAAATTTGTTAACAATAGTGTAACACTTTAAATGAATGAATTTGAGGATGTCTTACGTGGTTTGTCTTCTTTTGCTTCAGCGACAGCAGCAGTCGAGCTGACATGATCATGTTATCAGCATGATTTGAGAATGTTTTAGCCTGCATGGGTTTCCTTTCAGAACTTTGGAGACCCACACACACATCCTAATTTTCCCTAGGCGCTCTTTTGCCTTCCCATCACAGGGTTTCATTACCCTTGCAAAACTGCTACTTCTGCAATACGGGCGATTAGAGAGCGTTCCCTCCCTCGATCCCTCACACACACACACACACACTGATCCGTCTGTCTCTGTCTGTCTCCGTCTGTCTCCTGCAGGCGCGGACTCCACGCGGCGCTGCAGGGCTGCAGCAGCAGTCGCTGGGCGAGCAGGTAGGAGGGCGAATGTGTTATGCGTCTGCGGAGAATTTGGAAAGTATGGCCGATGCTGAGCTGCCGCTGGGCTTCAGTCGCTCCAACATCCTCAGACAGAGTCTTCCACTGGCACGATCGCCCAGCCAGGCTAAACTGAGAGCGCCAGGTATGACACATCAACACTTCTGTGGCATTCTATTTCTACTTTTAGTGTTAGTCAAGCTTTCGTGCACCATTTCATTTATTTCTGCCATTTACCAAACTGAATGGTTTAAAACCTAAACATTTTGTCTACTAAATTTAATTGTAAGTATAAATACTTACTATATTAGCTATTAAAGGCACAATATGTAATTTTTCGCCGCTAGAGGGTGCGTATTCAAAAGAGCCGTGTGAGACACTTTTTTTTATGGATGGGCGCTTTTTAATTAAGTGCTTTTGGACTGATGCATGCAACACTCGCTGAGTGGCATTAAACAGCTTGAAAGATCAAAGACAATTTTTAATATAACTCCGACTGGATTCGTCTGAAAGAAGAAAGTCATATACACCTAGGAAATTTTAATTTTTGGGTGAACTAACCCTTTTTAAGTAAATACCTTTTTATTGTATGTTTCAAAAATTTTAGGGTTGTAAGAAGACATTTATGCTCTCAATGACTGCATTTATTTAATCAAAAATACAGTAAAAACGGATATATTGTGAAATACTTTTTCTTATTTCAAATAACAGTTTTCTATCTGAATATTTTGTAAAATGTAATTTATTCCTGTGATGTAAAGCTGAATTTTCAGCATCATTACTGTAGTCTTCAATGTCAAATGATCCTTAAGAAATCATTCTAATATGCTGATTTGCTGCTCAAGAAACATTTCTTATTATTATCAATGTTGAAAACTGATTTCTGCTTAATATTTTGTAGAAACTGTGATTTTCCGGATTCTTTGATGAATACAAAAGTTCAAAAGAACTGCATTTATTTGAAAAAGACAAATATTTTTTTAAATGATAAATATTCATACTGTCACCTTTGATCAGTTTAATGCATCTTTGCCGAATAAAATTATTAATTTAAAAAATATTTATAGAAATTTGCCATATTGAAATGCATCTACATTCATTTTATACATTCATGAAGCTCAAACCTTAGATTACTGCGCTAGCAACGTCAGTGTAATGGGTTTGATTCCCAGAGAGTGCATGAACTGATAAAAATAGGTACTTTGAATGTAGTGTAAGTGAAGCATCTACAGAAATATAGATTTATTTCCCTGCATGAGTCAATTTTGCAGCATAATTTCAGTGAATGTTCTGGGTGTTTTTACACTCTTAGCACTTACGCAACCATTCAGACTGAGTCTGACTAAATCAATTATATACAGTTAGTTCTGGTTCACTAATTTGATTGGACAAGCAGCGTTCAATATTTTGTATAGCTGCAAGAGAATGTTTCACTGTTTGTATCACTCCACTTTCATACCATTTTTCTGTTGTATTGCATATCAAATATCAACTGAATAATTTTTTTGTGTCTTTCTAGCGGTGTTGTTCTTGCAGTTCGGTGATGAGACGCGGCGGGTGCACATCACTCATGAGCTGACCAGCATGGAGACGCTTCACGCCCTCCTCGTGCACATGTTCCCTCAGAAACTGACGATGGGTGCGTTGCGTTCGCCCGGCACGGCTCTGCTCATCAAGGACGAGGCACGCAACATCTTCTACGAGCTGGAGGACCCTCGTGACATCCACGACCGGTGTCTCATCAAGATTTACTGCAGAGAGGCTCCGATTCGAGACACACACTACAATGCTCAACACACGGCCCACCCCGTACACCACACACACATCGCCAACGGAGACCTGCGGGTGAGTCGACACATAGCTGTGTAACACATATTTAATCATCATTTAATAATTTTATGTCAAATAAAACATCTCTATGTCAGTAACTAATAACAAAAAAGAAACATAACTATTGTATTATTCCAATTTGTAAATAATTATTCATAAATTATTTAAATTAATAATAAAATAATAATCGGATGGATTATGCTCTCTTGTTTTTCACTTTAAATTGTACAGTAGTTCATACATTGAATAAAATATAATTTTACTGTTTTACTGTAAAAGCACATGCATTATCATTTCAGATATACATTTCCTCCCTAAATTATAATTTATACAAAGATAATTAAGATAATGGAAAAAGATAATGCTTTTTTCCATAAAATAAAATTTTTACACTCTTTTACAGTAAAATAACATTTTGTTAAATATAATGTAAATTCACATCATTATATATATATGTAATTGTGTGTGTGTGTGTGTTATATAGTATAAATTCACTATAAATTGTAAAGTGTTTCATACTTTTTCTCCATAAATTATAATTTGTGCAAAGATAATTCATGCTTTTTACCTTACAATACCATTTGTACACTATTTTACAGTAAAATAAAATTTTTTAAATAATATAAATTCACTAAAAAGTAAGGTGATTCATATAATTTCTTACCTTAAAAACAAAATTATGTGTATTTTCTTGTACGCATGAAATTTTTGAAATATTATATGTTTTTCCCCCCGTTACATAAGAACTTATACTACCAATCAAAAGTTTGGGTTCAGTAAGATGTTTTTTATTTATGTTTATTTTTGGAAATAAATGAATATTTTTATTCAGCAAGGATGCATTAAATTGATAAAAAAATATTTAATGTTGCAAAGATTTCTGTTTCAAATGAATGCTGTTCTTTTGAACATTCTATTGATTAAAGAATTTAGAAAATATCTCATGGTTTCCACAAAAATATGAAGCAGCACAACTGTTTTCAACATTGATAATAATAAATGTTTCTTGAGCAGCAAATCAGTATATTAGAATGATTTCTGAAGGATCATGTGACACTAAAGACTGGCGTAATGATGCTGAAAATTCAGCTTTGATCACAGGAATAAATTACTTTTTAAAATATATTCATATAGAAAACAGTTATGTTAAATTGTAATAATTTTTCACAATATTTCAGTTTTTACTGTATTTTTTAACAAATTAATGCAGCCTTGGTGAGCAAAAGAGTCTTTTCTAAAACATACAATATTTACCGACCCCAAACTTTTAAATTGTTGTGCACAGTTAAACTATTTCCAGGCTTTAAGAAATTTTACATTGTTTTTCTGTCATTTTACAGCATAGTTTCACCTACTAGATGATAATAATGAAGAACACATCCTATCCCTTCCTCAAATCTATATTGTGTGTGTAAATGACAGAAAACATGCAATAGCGCGATTCTCTTCTTATACTATGAATCTTTCTTGTCATATGTCATGTGCATTTAACTTCTCCCGACTTCTTCCTCTCTCTCTTTCTCTCTAACTCCTCCAGAGAGAGCTGGTGTACACCTCGAGGGAATCGTCTCCCACGCAGCGTTTAAACACACTCCCGTCTTCCTCTCCTCCCTCTGGATCTCCGTCACGCTCGCAATCGCGTCTTTCTTACATGGGTGGGCGTCCTTCCTCTTACGCCGGACCCCATCCGTCGCCTCAGCTCCACCCCTATCAGCAACACCACGCCCACCCCGGAGGCCACGCCACCCATCAGTCTGGCCACACCCATCCATCATTTTGCCCCTCCCCAAGTGCCATTCTAGAACGGCGTGATGTGAAACCGGACGAGGAAATTGCATCGTCCTCGAAGAGCGTGGTGTTGCTAAAAAATGAAGCGATATACGCAGACCCTTATTCGCTAGTCCAGGATCCTCGGCTCAGCGTGGCTTCGCCGCAGGCTCTGGCATACCGCCGCGGATCTGTGCGCTCTATTGGTGGCTACCCCGCTGCGGCATTGCAATGTGAGCTCGAGGGCGCCCTCTACAGGCCTGGCGGTCCTATATACGCAGATCCATATGCTACGATGGGTTTCCGCACCTTACCTCCAGCCTCGCCTCAAAAACTGTCTGATGGCAGGGATCCGTATGGGAGCCACCCGGGACGAGGGTCCCCTGGGAGACATGGGTTTCGTAAAGATGGCACTGTGTACATAGAGAGTCCCAAGAATCGTCCAGGAGGGCCACCTCTAGAACAGATATGCATGCTTGGGGGCCCCGGAGGAGATGGAGGGCCGGTGCCAGTGTACGGCTCAACATTACCTGGTAACGGAGAGACCAGGTGAGACCAGGTTTTCTCTCCTTAAAGGGATAGTTCATCCAAAAATTAAAATTCTGTCATCATTTACTCACTCTCATGTTGTTCCAAGCCTGTTTCTTTCTTCTGTTGAGCACAAAAGAAGATATTTTGAAGAATGTCGGTAACCAAAAATTTGACGGTAGAATTAAATGTACACAGTACACACACATTCATTATGTAAACACAAACCTTTATTTTGGTTATTGTTTGACAGTCCTAATTTTTATTATATATATTTTATTTAGTAGTATGAGAGAATGTACACATTCTCTGCATTTTTTGGATGAACACTAAAGTTTTGCGAGAGCATGTTGTTTGTATGTGTGTAATGGTATTTTGTGTTTTTAGAGAGCGAATGGAGGCCATGGAGAAGCAGATAGCCAGTTTAACCGGACTGGTTCAGAGTGTTTTGACCCGAGGACCAGACAGCCCGTAAGAAATCTCCACTTCAGTCCAATACTATTGAATATCACTATTAAACCTGAAATTTTGAATGACTTTTGGATCTCTCAACATTCATTTTAATGCTATTTTTAATAATGCACATCCATGCATCATATATTAGCATGTAAATGGAGTTTGTCCTTCATGTTTCCTGTGTTTGTCTTGCAGTGAGAAAGCAGAAACAGCGAGTGACTGTTCTGCACCGGAGAGTGAGTACCATACGGTTTAAGTGTGTTTGAATGCAGCTTAAGCATTTCTGGGAAATATTGTTAAAAAAGTTTAAAATATGAAGACATTTTATTACATGCACTACAGATTGTCACATTTAAAAACCTAGTTGATGGAAAAAGCTTTAAATACACCCTTTCTGATGGATATATAATAAACATGAATGACAAATTGTGTTGTCCCCTGTAGTTTTGTCCGCATTATCTAGAAACTACCATACTAACAAACACAATCAAAATGAATACAATTAATCATAGGCCCATGTAATTCATGCTTGAACATATTAATACAAGAGGTTAATAAAATAATCGTATTGATATGAAGAGGTGACGGTGATGTTCCAACAAAGCCTGAACTGTTTGTGCTTCAGAATAGCTGTTACTAAACTAATTATGTTCACAAGAACAATTAAGTGATGCAGAGTAGGCGTATCAATTAACAGGTCATTAAATGAGTGAATCATGCATGGTGATAATAAGACACGACTGCGTGCCGCACTGAAGGATGTTTGTCTAAATGATAGAAGCAGGCAGGCCAAGTCCTCGAGGACTGCAGTATGATCTTAAAATGAAGCTCATTTGGATTGGTTTACATTAGCTAATGTTGGTTTGTGATTTACGGCTGTAGTCCATGACTGAGTTCATGATTTGAGTGTCAGTAATGTAAATTAACATGAACAGAATTCTTGCTAATGCCACAGACACATCACAATGTGCTAATTCATGTCAGATGTGCATGTTAATAATAAACTTATATTATATTATATTATATTATATTATATTATATTATATTATATTATATTATATTATATTATATTATATTATTTATGTTATGTTAATGGACAGTTAACTGGTGATATTTTATATTTCAGCTGGAAGGTTTAGAAAACAAAAAGGTATATTACTTTGTGTCTGGTTGTCTGTCCCTTTCTCGGTTTCCCCTACGTGTGTTGCATTACAGATTGTGTTGCATTGCGATTTGTGCATTGCAATTTTGTGTACAGAATGTTTGTATTGAGGGATCTCAGATCCTGGAGTTTGAAAACCATCTCTTTATGTATATACAGTGTCTATAAAAAGTATTCACCTCCTTTGACTTTTACATTTCATTAATTTGATATGTATTATTGAAGACTGCAGAGCACTTTGTGTTGATAAATGGCAAAATCCTGAGTTAAATACATAATGATTCATGGAGCACGAAAAGTCCAATGAGGAGTTTGCTTTTATAGGCACTGGATATATATATATGTCTGTCCTATGGATTCTTCCCGAATGTTTTTGTTGTATGGAAATTCCCACTAACACTTGAATGTCAGTGTACTAGAATGTTTGTCTTCCTTTTCCAGTTCCTAAAAGAACCTAATAAGGACGAAAAGTCCAATGAGGAGTCCGCGTTTATAGGCACTGGATATATATATATGTCTGTCCTATGGATTCTTCCCGAATGTTTTTGTTGTATGGAAATTCCCACTAACACTTGAATGTCAGTGTACTAGAATGTTTGTCTTCCTTTTCCAGTTCCTAAAAGAACCTAATAAGGACATCAGAGTCTGTTTCTGAGATTCTAACAGTGTGAATGTATATGCAAACATAAGGATCTGAATTTGAATGTATGTTGCATGAATATACAACGTACTGTAGATGTACTGAGTTGTGTTGGGCTTGTTTTTGGATGTGACTCACAATGTACAAATCAAGACAGAATCAGAAGCCTTTTGTTGTTTTTTTGTGCTTAAAATGGAAATGAGACATTTTCAGAGAGATTTAAATAGATGACTAACAGGCTTATGGATGATCAGATTTCACTATTACGCATTTGAAATGAAATTGCATGTGTTTTTATATGAGTTAAATGTTTTATGTATGACTTCTGCTCCTGTGGATTGTTAGTGTCATCGCCGTCTGCTCCTCTGGCCCTGATGCCGCCTCCTCCCACTGCAGCCTCTCAGCCAATAGCAATGTCCCGTTTCCAAATTATATTATATAGAATTTACATAGTATATTAAATATATAATTTATAATTAATAAATATGAGATATTATTTCTTCTTATTGTTATTATTATATTATAATAATATGTATTTTTATATATTGTTTATTTATTATAATTTATTGTGCACTAGTGTGTATTATTTTGGGAACAGTTAACTGGTAATATTTTATATTTCAGCTGGAAGGTTTAGAAAACAAATAAAGTATATTCCTTTTTTTTTTTTGCTGTGTATTTAATCTTGTGCACATGTGGGAATGAAAAAATATTGCTTGATGAATAGCAAAACTTTTAACTTATGACATATTCATTGGGGGAAAATGATTATAAATAATGCTGCGCTAGTTGTGTGTGTGTGTGTTTTTTGTGCATTTGTAAGCCTCATGCAAGTTCTAAAAACTGCTGTGTATTTATATAGATAGATATTATGATGTATATCAACTCTGACATATTGTATTCTTATTCATTTGAATTATTTATTTATTACTAAATAAATTTTATTTGAAATTTATAATAAATTAATATGAAATACATTTGTTTACATATATATGCTAATATGTATTAATTTATAAAATATATAAAATGTATATATTATATAGAATTTACATAGTATATTAAATATATAATTTATAATTAATAAATATGAGATATTATTTCTTCTTATTGTTATTATTATATTATAATAATATGTATTTTTATATATTGTTTATTTATTATAATTTATTGTGCACTAGTGTGTATTATTTTGGGAACAGTTAACTGGTAATATTTTATATTTCAGCTGGAAGGTTTAGAAAACAAATAAAGTATATTCCTTTTTTTTTTTTGCTGTGTATTTAATCTTGTGCACATGTGGGAATGAAAAAATATTGCTTGATGAATAGCAAAACTTTTAACTTATGACATATTCATTGGGGTAAAATGATTATAAATAATGCCTTAAAGAAATAAGTCATTTTATTCACACAAAGCTATGAAATGGCTTCAGAAGACTGGGGAAATAACACATAAATAATACATTTTTATGGTTTTGGAGCTTGACAGCCAATTGCATGGGAAATGCGTACTGTATGAAAAATATAATTGCATTTGAATGTATCTATTCTTTCAGTTCATATCTAGCAATATTGTATTCATATATCCAGGTTTGTATATCTGTGTGTCTCACAGTTGCAGAATCAGGACTCTGTTCAGGCGTTACTGAGACAGACGGAGTCTGATCTGGGGATGTGTCTGATCGAGGCGTCTCGCACACAAGAAGATCCATTACAGCGGCAGCGTCTTCTTGTTGAGGAGGAGAGGCTGCGCTACCTTAATGAAGAAGAACTTATTATACAACAACTACAGTGAGCTAAAGCACTTACGCCTCTGAATGAGAACACATGCTGAAAAACTGTGCCGCATATGGTTTGTGTTGGATGTGATGTGTTTCCAGCGATCTCGAGCGCTCAGTGGAGGAGATGAGGACGGGGGCGGGGCTTAACCATCACCTGGTGACCGAACAGGAAATAGAACAGAAGAGTCTGGAGCTCAGGAGACTGGGAGAGACCGTCACTGACCTCAAGAGTGAGTGAATGATAAAGAAAGGAATCTGCACACAGTATCATGTGTTCATGCTTCTGACCATTAATGATTATTTTAAAACTTTAAGGAATGATTATTTAAAATAAATAAATAGATAGATAATAATAATAATACATCATCAGATGATAGTTGGTTTGTTTGTTTACACAAAATTTGTAATGTACAGTTGTAATGAACAGCTTAGTCTGTAACTATTGATTCTCTAAAAAAGAACAGGCTAATTAGAGTCATTCATTCAGGATTCGGATTGCACTAGTTGAGCTGTATACATTTTTGATTCACTACAAAGAAACGTTCATGAGTCAGACTATACTGATTGCATTGTACGTTTGTGATTCACTATAAAGGGCTGGTCAGATTACACTGGTTGTGCTGTACTCTGTTTTTGATTCATTAAAAAGAACCGACTCATAAGAGTCATTCCTTCAGGAATCGGACTATACTTGTTGTACTGTATGTTTTTGATTCTCTGAAAAGAGCTGAATCCTAAGAGTCATTTTTCATTAGGTCGAACTATACTGGTTGTGTTGTATGTTCTTGATTCACAAAAAGAACTGACTTACAAGAGTCATTAGTTCAGGAATCAGACCTCACTGAACGTGCTGTGTTTTTAGATTCACTAAACTTAACTGGCTTCTAAAAGTCATTAATTCAGGAATAGGACTAAACTTGTGCTGTATGTTTTTGATTCATTAAAAAGAACCGACTCATAAGAGTCATTCTTTCAGGAATCGGGCTACACTTGTTGTGCTGTATGTTTTTGATTCTCTAAAAAGAGCCAACTCCTAAGAGTCATTTGTTCATGAGTCGAACGATACTGGTTGTGCTGTATGTTTTTTGATTCACTAAAAAGAACCAACTTACGAGAGTCATTAGTTCAGGAATCAGACTTCACTGATCGTGCTGTATGTTTTTTTTTTTTTTTTTATTCACTAAAATTAACTGGCTCAAAAGTAATTCATTTAGGAACCGGACTAAACTTATTGTGCTGTATGTTTTTTAATTCACTAAAAATTTAAATTAAATTAAATTAAATTAAATTAATGACTCGTAAGAGCCATTTCTCGTTTAAAGAGTCAGACTACACCGATTGTGCTATTTATTTTTGATTCACTAAACAGAACATTCCTTCAGCAGTCGAACTACACTGGTTGAGCTGAATGGTTTTGATTTACTAAAAGATCCAGATCTTAAAAATGATTCATTCAGGAGTTGAAATATACAAGTTGCACTGTATGCTTTTGATTCACTAAAAAGAGCCAGTTTATAAGTATCATTCTTTTAGGAGTTGGATTACACTGGTAGTGTTATATGTTTTGATCCACTAAAAAGAATCGTCTCATTAGAGACATTTGTTTAGGAATCAAACTGCTTTGGTTACGTGAAATAAATTTAATTCACAAAAAAAAGGCTTTATGAGACTCATTCGCTTTTAATTGGACTACATTGGTCTTGCTCTGTAATCACTGCACAGTAGCGATGTTGCACCTTTGGTCAGTACATAAATAGTGCATAGTTGTTTTGTGCAGTGTTCTGTAGGCAACATGTTTTTTTTTGGAAAATGTGGAAATCTCTATAATTCAACTATAAGCTAATCCTATGTATTATGTTCTACAATTTATGTGTTTAGATCAGTTCCCCACTTTACAAAGTAAGATGCGTGTGGTGTTGAGGGTGGAGGTGGAAGCCGTCAAGTTTCTGAAAGAGGAACCGCTCAGACTGGAGGCCCTGTTGAAGCGCTGCAGAAACATCACCAACACACTCGCTCTACTACGAAGGTAATGCACACAAACACGTACCCATTCACTCCTGTTCGGATACGTTCTCTACTGCCATGCCTAAAGCATTCCTCCGTGTGTGTTTGTGTACAGGCAGGTATCAGAAGGTGTGTGGAGGACACCCGATGACTTCAGTAGTTCAGTTTCCAGCGTGAGTGACACTGACTTCAGCAGGAGCTCTGATCTAGATATTCTCAACAGCCCTTCTCTAAATCTGCCCGACCTCGGGGGCACCTTATCAGCCACTGCCTCTCTTTCTGCCTCCCTGGGCACTAATACCACAAATCCTGGCCTGACGAGTGCTTCTAGTATAGGTAAACACCAGTTTTACATTCTATTTGACATTTTGAATAATTTAAGGAGTAGTTCACCTAAAAATGAAAATTAACTCACCCTCCGGTCAACAAAGATGTCAATGAGTTTGTTTCTTCATCAGAACAAATTTGGAGAAATGTAGCATTACATCACTTGCTCACCAGTGGATCCTCTGCAGTGAATAGGTGCCGTCAGAATGAGAGTCCAAACAGCTGATAAAAACATCACAAGTAATCCACACCACTCCAGTCCATCAATTAACATCTTATGAAGAGAAAAGCTGCGTGTTTATAAGAAACATATAATAATAATTGATGGACTGGAGTGGTGTGGATTGTGTTTTTATCAGCTGTTTGGACTCTCATTCTGACGGCACCTATTCACTGCAGAGGATCCACTGGTGAGCAAGTGATGTAATGCTATATTTCTCCAAATCTGTTCTGATAAAGAAACAAACTCATCTACATATTGGATGGCATAAGGGTGAGTACATTTACAGCACATTTTAATGGTGAATTATTCCTTTAACTGATATATTTACAAAACAAGCTTTGGGAACATTTATTGGTTTGTGCACGCTGGATAACTTATTCATTGATTTATTGATTTTAGGAGGCACCACTAGTCTATCTAACGTGCTCGGCTCCACTCTTGGTGCCAGTATGAGCATCGGTGGTATTCCTGGCAGCACCACGCTGGGTAACTGGCTGGCAGGAGCCAGGGCAACAGATCCCATCATGCCTGAACTGGACGGCACCTCCGCAGGTCCAATAAAGACCAGCGGCTTGGAAGACCTTCCCGCACGCAGAGAATCTGACAAAGGAGTGTCTGTGGAGGTCCGACTGGTAATGAACACACTTATTTTTCATATGTGTGTTTTCACGGATGTCAGAAAGGATGTGAATTTTTACCGAAGGCTGGCAGACAAGTGTTTTTGAGGGTTTAAATACAACAATAATAATAATAATAACAATAATAATAATGTATTATTATTATTATTAATAATAACAGCAACAATTATAATAAAAATGATTTATTATAAAAATATATGGTATACAATATTATAAATCTTTTAAGGTTGGACTGTTTTTTTTTTTTGTTCATTTCCAGACCTGACAGTTTTAAAAGTACTATAAATATAATCAAATAAATGTAACTTTTTCTTTTACATTAATATTACAATTTTAAAAGGTTTTAATCGTTTTGCTAACTTTAGCCTTTTCCTCTCTCCAAAACCTGGCACTCTAAAAACATGCATCACATCCCTGGTTGAGAATTATTTAAAGTTTGGGAACCTCTGTGTGATAACACATGTGGGTGTGTGTCTTTAGGCTGCAGAGCGAGACTGGGAGGAGAAGAGAGCCAGTTTGACTCAGTTCAGCGCTCAAGACATCAATCGTCTGCTGGAGGAAACTCAAGCTGAGCTGATGAAGGCCATTCCAGATCTGGACTTTGCCGCCAAGCAGATCACGAAACCGGCTGTACCGCCAAAACCCCAGCTGTCCTCCCTCCCAGCGCACGGCTCAACATCTTCTACTCCTAGCTTAACACCTGAACATCAGCCCAGCAAAACCCCACCAAAACCACCCAGCAAAGACGGCATCCCACGCAGGGGTTCAGGTGAGGTTTCATTATCATTGCGCCAAGAACTACAGAAACTGCCTTGTGATTTTGGCTATATTGTTTTATGATTTGACTGATCATTAGACAAATGAATAGGTTTATTGATTGATTTGATTGATTGATCAGGGGATTTGACAGTGCCACGGTATCGTACAGAGAAGCTGTCCAAGTCTCCACCCCCTCCTCCTCCGCGACGAAGTTTCCCATCAGGCCTTGGGCTCACGACCAACAGCAGTGGAGAAGTAATCACCATAAACAAGAGTGTGAAGGTGAACCACAATTTTCAAAAGTTAAGCATTTTTGTAATAAGCCTTATATCTATTGAATGCTAGGTGACGCTGTCTTTAAATTTTTCAGGCACGTTAAGGGTATGCTGTCGATTATTTGCACCAAATTTTGTGCGAATACATTAAAGCATTTAAAAAATAGAATAGTTTGCAACAAATTTCAAAATGGATCACAGGCAACATTCATCCAATCCTGGCAAAATTAGTATAAATGGATTCAGCATGACCCAAGGAACACAAAAAGCTCATGATTTTCTGACATTTCAAAAGTTATGAGCAAAAATAGCCAATTTTGGAACTCATGACCTGTAGGGTGGTGCTGTTCCCAAATTTGGCTTGTACTCTCAGATCATAGTGCTAATGTGCTAAAGTGTGCCCAGTTTTGTTTCAATAGATCAAATTTTGTCAAGATACAGCATCTATTCTCTTCTATATCAACCCTCTAAATTGCGAGTAAATCACTCGCATATGCGACTAAATCTTACTCTGGGCGACTAAATAATGTCTAACATTAGCCATTGGCTAATAAATTCTTAGATTTTACACGCCAGTATGTGTGTGAGAGGCGTTCAACACAGATTTTCACTCGATAAACACGCTGACTGAGCGCTTACTGATCTCATGACCTGTAGTTGGCGCTGTTCCCAAATTTGGCATGTACCCTCAGATCATGGTGCTGATGAAGTGTACCAAGTTTTGTTTCAATAGATCTAAGTTTTGCCAAGATATAGCATCTATTCCATCTATACATTTTAATTTTGGGTCAAAAATCACTAGACTCACATCATCATAACTTTTTAAAAGGGTGGTTGATTACGATTTCACTTTTTTAACGTTAGTTAGTGTGTAATGTTGCTGTTTGAACATAAACAATATCTGCAAAGTTACGAAGCTGAAAGTTCAATGATAACGGAGATATCGTCTTTTAAAATTCTGACAGTTTAATGCCTACAAAAGCGGCTGGTAGGGACTACAGCAAGTTACTTCCCGGGTTCGTGACATCACAAACCCAGATAAACCCCGCCCTCGGGAAAAGGCAGCAAAGGGGGTGAGGCCATGCTGACCTGCTTTAGAGAAGAGGAAGAGAAAACTAGAGGTGCACTGTAAAAATCTATTCATATATGAATCACGATTCTGTCTTCTAACGATTTATCTCATGACTTGTAGTTGGTGTTGTTCCCAAATTTGGCATGTACCCTCAGATCATAGTGCTGATGAAGTATACCAACTTTCATTTCGATAGATTGAAATTTTGTCAAGATATAGCATGTATTCTTTTCTATATATTCTAATTTTCGGTCAAAATGATTAGATTTACGTCATCATAACTTGTGAACAAAAAGGAATATCAAAACTCTGTTCAGTCATTTCTGTTTGATAAACTTATCATCTGAACCAGTTTGGTGATAATTGAACTATATTTCAAGGAGTAGTAGCTTAGTAACAAATTCAAAATAACAAAATAATGAATATGTACTTTGCACTTGATTGGCTGTTAACTGTAAATTAAAGCTTTATTTCCTTTGCTGCAGCTGTTAATATTTCTCGTGCTTCATATCTTGCTGTGCCTGCAGATGTTTATTAGGTTGCTCTTTCATACACGTCTTATTTTTGTAGAAATTGGAGAAGATGGAGAACAGAGAGGAGGCTGAAGTACCGACTCAATCCCAGACGCCTCCTGTCAAACTGAGACGTCCGTCGACTTCCGATGGGCCCCGACCATCATCCACACCTCCGGTCATCGCTGCTTCTGGGATGAAGGAAGATGAGGATGAAGATGAGAAGATAATGGCAGAGCTGGAGGTAAAAAGCTGATATACAGCTGTCGGATGGACAAAAAATATTCTTATCACCATGTGTTGTGTGTATCTACATATAGGATGACATTGAGGTACATTAACTCATTCCTGATTGGTCTGTTATTCAGTAAATGGACAAGAAAGCATTTTTTTTGCTTTGTCAAAATTTTAATACCGCAGATTTGGCAATAATGTGTTGTTAATTTTCCTCCAAACCTAAACATGTCAATGCACTAATCCACACACACCAACACAACAGGCATTTCAGAGAGCCCCAGTGAGACTGAGGGTCACTGCTGAGGCCCAAAGCCCTGCTGAGGTCACTCCTAACAGTGTTGACAGGGCAGGCCAGTGGATCAGCAACTCTCTGTGGAGAGAGGTAACGTGTTAACTGCCAATCCTTCCTCTCAGGCCTCCCTATAACTTCTGGCATTGAGGTTTTTCCTGAACCTTACTAATGCACTCTGGCACAAAACATATTAATCTGTCATCTCTTCAAGTCTTTAACCGGCTGTGCTACTGCATGTTATTAGACGGCTTGAATGAGGTCTGGTATTGAAACCCGGCTATAAAAGCACATTGGGAACTAAACATGTTTTTTCTAACATTTTTATGTTTCTTGACTTGTTATATGTGATATGTGAAAGTCTGTTTCCACCTCAGAAATTTTATAGATTCTAAAAAAAATTATTTTTATAATAATATAATATAATAATAAATAAAATATTATTATTGTTTAGTATTTACATTCTTAATACTTAATTGCTTTATTTAATATATTTGATATAATATTAAATAAAGCAATTAAGCATTAAGCAATTAAATATTATACAATAATTTTTAATTTAATATTGTTATTATTAAATAAACATTAAATTGAATATTAGTAATTTAATTTAGTTTAATATTATATTATATTATATTATATTATAAAGTATTAAGCCATTAAATACTGTATAATGATGATCATATTTACAGTATTAATAATTATAATTTATTTGTAATTAATAATAATGTAATAATTATAAATGTAATTCTAAATTATTATAAATATTATAAATATACACTATTATAATATACATTATGAAATTATGAAATATTAACAAATAAAACATTTTCTCACAATTACAAATGTCTCTCTTATAGAATATTAAGCAATACAATTTTATATTTTCTAATATGTTTTATTATTATTATTATTAATTTTATGTTTCACAATGTGAATATTTCTTAATTTGAAATTTCTCACGATTAGTTTTATTTTTACTCTTAGGTGAAAATGAGCTTCCATACTTAAAACCGGTAGGGTCAAGACACTGGGAGTTTAAGATATCCCTCATAATTTTGTATGCAAAGTCACACATTTTCTCAAAGCAAGCAATCAAGCAAAAAAAAAAAAAAAAATATTAATATAAATTATAAAAAAAATGTAATACAATGACAAAAAGCACATAGCAAAATTACTAAAACTTAAACCAAAATGCCTCTTCTCAGTAATGTTGTGACACTGTGGTAACAAATCAATTTTAACAAGCTTAAAGTCTTTAAAGCCTTTAAAGCAA